GGCCTCCCAAAGTGCTGGGATTACAGGTATGAGCCACTGCACCTGACTTCCAGGTGTCTTTTATAGCTGGTTTTGGTTTGAGACATGGTTTCACTTTGTCACCCAGGCTGGAGTGCAGTGGTACAATCACAACTCACTGTAGCCTTGACCTCCCTGGCTCAAGCAGTCTTCCCACCTCAGTCTCCTGAGTAGCTGGGACTACAGGCATGTGCCACCGTGCCCAGCTAGTGTTTTTTATTTATTTATTTATTTTAGAGATAAGGTCTCACTGTGTTGCCCAGGCTGGTCTCGAACTCCTGGGCTCAAGCAGTCCTCCCACCTCAGCCTCCCAAAGTGCTGAGATTACAGGTGCAAGCCATGGCAGATGACTCTGGCTAGTTTTAAAATTTTTATAGAGATGAGGTTTCCCTATGTTGCCTAGGCTGGTCTCAAACTCCTGGGCTCAAGCAATTCTACCTCCTCAGCCTCTTAGAGTGTGGGATTACGCCCTGCCTATAGCTGTTTAGAATCCAGTCAAGCACTACCTCTTACACTTAAGTCCTTTATTTTTTATTTTATTTTATTTTTTGAGATGGAGTCTCACTCTGTTGCCTAGACTGGAGTGCAGTGGTGCAATCTCAGCTTACTGCAGCCTCCACCTCCTGGGTTCAAGTGATTCTGCTGCCTCAGCCTCCCAAGTAGCTGGGATTACAGGTGCCCACCACCACTCCTGGCTAATTTTTGTATTTTTACTAGAGACAGGGTTTCACCATGTTAGCCAGGCTGGTCTCAAACTCCTGGCCTCAAGTGATCCACCTGCCTTGGCTTCCCAAAGTGCTGGGATTACAGGCATGAGCCACCACGCCTGGCTCACTTATGTCCTTTAAATCTCCTTAACCTAAAATACTCTTGCCCTACCCCATGCCTCTTTCCCCATTGATGATAGATGAAGCCAATTTTCTGTAAGTTTCGAAATTGGTCTGATTGTTTCTTTACATTACTGTTTAGTTTATTCCTCTATGTTCTATGTTATCTGTGAACTAGAAGTTAAATTTAAATCAGGTAAAATATTTTTGGCAAAAATGCTTTGATAGGTAATGTTGTGTCTTGCATATTACATCCTGTCATGAGGCAATAATATCTGGTGATCTTACTGGTTTTGATCATAGGGTTAATATAGTAACTACCTAATTCCCCTATTATAAAATTCCCTTTGCCGTTAACCAATATGTGGGGGACACTTTGGTGACATTGCAAGTATCTCGTTCCCCATCAACCTTTCATAGTTTTAGCATTCGTTAGACTTTTTAAAATTTTAACTTATTTTTTTAATTTAAAAAAATTAATCTTGTTATTTTTTTAATTTAAAAAAATTAATCTTGTTATTTTTTTAATTGACACAGGGTCTCGCTTTGTCACCCAGGCTGGAGTGCAGTGGTGTGTATTAGAGCTCACTGCAGCCTCAAACTCCTAGGCTGAAGTGATCCTTCTGCCTCCGCCTCTCAAGTAGCTGGAACTACAGGCACATACTACCACCCCTGGCTAATTTTTGTATTTTTGTAGAGACAGGTTTTCTCCATGTTGCCCAGCCTGGTCTCTCTGGACTCAAGTGATCTGCTTGCCTTGACCTCCCAAAGTGCTGGGATTACAGGCATCAGCCACCGCATCCAGCCTATTTTTATTTATTTTTTGAGATAGGGTCTCACTCTGTCACCCAGGCTGGAGTGCAGTTGCACAGTCATGGCTCACTGCAGCCTTGACTTCCCAGGCTCAGGTGATCCTGCCACCTCAGCCTCCTGAGTAGCTGGAACTACAGATGCACACCACCACACCCAGCTAATTGTTTTATTTTTTTGTAGAGATGGGTCTCACTACTTTGCCTAGGCTGTTCTCAAACTCCTGGGCTCAAGAGATCCTCCCATCTCTGTCTTCCAGAGTGCTGGGATTAACTCCCACCTCTCCCTCCCAAAGTACTGGGATCAAAAGCGTGAGCCACCACACTCAGCCACATTAGACTTTTGAAAAAAGTAACCTTATCAGCCTAGGCAACAAAGTATGAATCTGTCTCCACACACACAAAAAAAATTATTTTATTTTATTTTTTAACTTGAGATGGAGTTTCACTCTTATTGCCCAGGTTGGAGTGCAGTGGCACAATCTCAGCTCACTGCAACCTCGGCCTCCCAGGTTCAAGCAGTTCTTCTGCCTCAGCCTCCCGAGTAGCTGGGATTACAGGTACTCGCTACCACACCTGGCTAATTTTTTTGTATTTTTAGTACAGACGGGGTTTCACTATGTTGGACAGGCTGGTCTTTTTGAACTCCTGACCTCAGGTGATCTACCAGCCTCCCAAAGTGTTGGGATTACAGACATAAGCCACCACACCTGGCCAAAAAATTTTTTTAATTAGCCATGTGTGGTGGTGTGTGCCTGTAGTCCCAGCTGTTTGGGAGACTGAGGTAGGAAAATCACTTGAGCCCGGAATTTGAGGCTGCATGAGCTATGATCATGCCACTGTACTCTAGCCTGGGTGACAGAGCAGGACCCTATCTCAAAAAAACAAAATAACAAAACCCACACCCTTCATTTTTAAGAAGTTAGTATGTTTACTGTAGGCAACTGAGAAACACAAGAAGCAAAGAACAGTCATCCACAATCACAAGCAGTTTACAGTTTGACTTGTCCTTCTAAGTCCTGTGTGTACATATACATAGTATCCAATTTTATGGGATTAAGATCATGCAATATGTATCATGTTTTATCACACATTATGGATATTTACTAATTGAAAACCCCAAAGCTATATGAGTATTTTGATAACCAAGAACACCCTGCAGCAACTCAATCTGTTAGAAGAAAATATAATGCCACCTGTCTTGGGACAAAAATTTCATGGAAGACAAAAATGGCAACAAACCTCTAGCTAGAAGTATTGGCAGAGTTCCCATTAGAGGACTGTATTGCCTTAATGCTCAATTTAAAATGAAACATCAACAGAGTATAATGCAACACTAAGTATAATGTTTCCATACTCTATAGTGTTTCTATAATAAAGCAACACTAAGTGTAATGTTTCTAAGAAAATTTATTATGGGATCTTTGCCACTAAAATATTACCAAGAAGGTATGTTTCCATTGAATTACTTCATGTATTCCCATAGTACAGCCAAGAGAGACTCACATACATTAGTGGCTATTGTCAAAATGTAAATATGAATACATCTGCATACATCTGTCTCTTTATATTTTCTTCTACTCATCTGCTGCCAAACTAATGAACAAGTCCCAATATATACATTGCTCAGAGGTGGTTTAACAATTCCATGTCCAACATGCATCTTTTCTATCAATTATAACAAAAAGATATTTACAAATTGGCAAATTCACTAGCCCTTTTTTTAAAATAATTTTGTGGGTGCATAGTAGATGTATATAGTTATGGAGTAGCTCTGCTTTTTATTATATATTGTCACATCAAGACATCTATGAAGCTTAGGTTTTTCAAAATAATGAACTCTGTCCACAATAAACATAGGTACTTTACTCAAAATGCACCTAAAGACCTGTGGTTATCATCTAAAAACATCTTCTAGATATGGAGATTCTGGCAAGGATCCCTTCCCTCCACCCCTTCTTCTTCATCCTCTTCTACCATTCTAATGACTAAGTACAGGACTATATCTAGTTCCAAGAAGTCAATTAACAACGGTCATTCCAAGAGGATAGTCCTTCCTAAGAACTGAAAAAGGGATTATTTTACTACCTCTACTTTTAGCATACATTGAGCATCAGGGACTTGTTTATCCTTTAATACACAGCAGTATTAACTGAAATGCACATATAGAACGATGGCTAGACAACCTGAACTAATGTGACTTAAGGGCACAGAACCCTTCTCTCTGCATACTTCCTCCTCCCCCCCGCCCACTACCACCCAGTGAACAGTCAACATACCC